ATTACATTAAACATTAACAATAGAATTCGACTAATAAAACTTATTTTCAAAAAAAAAAAAGGCATCAATTATCATTGATCCACAATATGCCGAATAATAATCTAATAAATATTCACTCAAAACAACTTATGCTTAATAAATTGATATTAACTCTTTTGAGTAAATACTAAAAGAAATATTATTCGATAATATACTAGATTTTACTGATTATCAATATAATCATTAGATCATCGAATTTTTCTTTAGAAAATTTCTCTGTGTATATATTTCATTTTTATATTATATTTATTGAAAAAAGACTTTCGAACATCGACAATTATATTTAAACTGATCATAAAACAAAAGTAAAAGGGTAAACAGTAAAACTAATAAAAGTAATAGATGATGACATGTTACTCTCATTCACGTCTATTAATTATTAGTCAATAAAATAATCTTAGATTGTTTGAGCAGATGAATTTTAATGAGAAGATATCATTTCTAACTAATCTTTTTCTGATAAACATATAAACAATCTCAAATATATTATTCGATTTGAAATTCTATAATAAAATTTATTCTCTAACAATGAATATAATATCAATATGTTTATTATTTATCTTCATATTAAATACAGAAAAGTTATTCAAACGAAATCTATATTCAACCTTTTATTTTTCAAACATAAAACAATAAATTTGTTTTCTTATCGATTTAATTCAGTTAATATTATTTGTCTAATTTAATAATATTATGGTAAATAATATTATTTATTTTTTATCATTAAACTTTGTTCTCCTATTTTTTTTAGATCGATATTCATAAAAACCAGATCTTAGGAGAAAAAAGATAATTTTATTTGTTAATATAGAAACAATAAATATTTTAGAAATAAAAAAGACTAATAAATATTTGTTGATTTATTTAAGAGAAGGACGTATGTTCCTGATTTAATTCAAAACTACAATCTCTGTTATCTTTTGAAAAGGTATATATATATATCAGATGTTTTCTTTCATCAGATTTAAATTTCTTATTCTTTTATTATTCAATAATATATTCATTGATAATAAATCTTACAAATTCATTGATTTTTTTTTTTTTTGTTAATTTTCTTAGATTCCCAATAGATAATCGGACAGGTCAAACAATGTTGGTCAATCCAATTCTGTTCCTAACAATAATATTATTATGTGAAAGTACAGTGATCAAAGTTGATGTATCATCTATGAAAGGAAATTGTACAATAGAATATGATGAAGGAGAATTACATGAAGGTGATACAATTGAAGTTCATGGAAAATTCTACAAAGTCGAAGATTGTAAACTTCATCGAGCATATCATGCATGTGGAACTCATGTTTTATTTCTTATTAATATTGTTTGTCAAGCTCTTGAACAAAAACAAATTGATTTAAATCAAAAACGTTTTTCTCGATTTGTTAAACATAAATTATTAACAGAAGCTTGTTGTCAAAGTGTTTGTACTGTTTTAGAAATGACACGTTATTGTCCTTAATATCGATAAATAAATAAGATTATTTAATTTTTGTCTTTTTTTCTCTGCTTTATATTTAGCTGATCACTTTTTAAATGTTCTATAGACATATTTTTATTGAAATTATCGACAAACAAAAAAACTCATCTCTATGATTATGTAGAATTCTTCGTATTATAGTTTGAATAATTATTGTTTTTCAATAAAAATAAAATTTATCTTTAATAATAAAGTAGATTTTTTATCTTTAGAATTTTATTTTAAAACAAAATCATTTTAAATCTAAAATATCTTTTTATAAAATTATATTGAATTAAATAAAATTCATATTAATAGAATATATTTC